AAATAAAGCATGAAAAAATAAATATTCATAAACTAAATTTCTTTATTCCTATTACCAGAAATATGAAATTCTCATAATCATTTATTATATTTTGTAAATTAATTATTACAAAAGATATATTTTTATTTTACAAAAGCTTGATTATTTTTTTAAATTTGTATATTATGCAATATATATTATCAATACAATTGTATATTTTTAACAAAATCCCAATAAAATTGGCAATTTATTTAGCTGTAATATAATTTACACTTAATGAGTTGGGTATGTTTCAGAATTAAATGATGTAGTGCTGGATTTAGTTTTATACATGTATCTATTTCATTTGATGCTAACCATCCAAACAAAAAGTCTTGTTGCCAAGATGAACTCAATATGTTAATAAAATTCATGTAAATATAGAAAAACATGATTCAAAATATTTACATAGCATGCAGATCTAAAATGTATAAAGTGCTCACCTGCTGAAGGTATGTTGATGCAAAGAGCTTGTGTAAATCGGAGATATGTGCGTCCCAATTCATACACACAAATTTGAAGAACATCGCTGATGTCAATAAGCATATCTAATTAATTAGTTAAGGAGTTACATGATCTCTCACTTGATTGCATTTCATATTGAACATTTTACTCTATTTATTATGTTTTGAAGATATAAAGGATACGTGCAGTGCCTTCGGTACGACAAGTAATATAAACACAAGCTGCATGATTGTGAGCTTGTTTTCTTCCTCGAGTTAAATGACGGTTTAAAGCCATTTTATAAAAATTCATAGATGTATCGATGCAGTGTTGGTTCAAACTAACAATAAACAATAAACAAAAATGAGTGAAATTTGTAGCATACTTATTTTAATTTAATTTAATTTAATTTAATTTAATTTAATTTAATTTAATTTACCGTAATTGCATACACAAATGAGTTATTCCTTTTCTTGCATTTTGTAAAGTTATTCCCCTTGATTCTTTTCCACTCACATGATATGCTATAAAGTGAGAAGTTCAAATATTTAATATTCTTACTTCACATAATTGTAAAATTGTTTTCTTATAGTTATGTAAAATATACCTGCTCCAAAGCCTGTAGCTCCACCGGTGCTATCGTTAGCAACAAATTGACCAAGTACCATCATATTTCCAGATGGTGTTTCTTTAAATGCAGTTTCGCTAACAATAAGCTGATCTTCCAGTACAAAACCACATTCTGTGCATACTGCATCTCCCCTGGATGGATCAGTTTCAATGTCTGTAGACCCACAATTTCGACATTTGTTTCCAGACATCTGTTAAATAATAATAAATTAATATATTGAAAAAGAATAATTTATTTTATGAAAATATATTATATGAAATTATATGATGCAAAACTAAATATTCTGTACTTGTTCTTTTACCATCAATTATTGTTTATATTAAATAATATATTTAGTGTTAATGAAAATAAAAAAAAGTAAAATAATATTTAGTTTAATTTCTACTAAATGAATAATATGTTTTTTAATAGAAGTAATTTTTTCTTATAAAATAATTTATAACGTTATCATTAATATTAAACGCATTGAGTCTCAAATATATTTTTGCCGAATGTACATAGAGAAATAATAAGTTTAATTAATTAAGAATAAATTATTAACAAAATACCTTTGTAGTGTTATAATGTTTGACGTTTAATTGTAAATACACCACTGCAGTTGTGTTGTGATATAGTAAAATCTGATACTTAAATTAACATTCAATAATTATCATATAGTAACTAACTAATAACTTATTACATTATTTTTTATATATAATGATATAGAATCAATAAAAATATCACTGTAATATTTATTAAACAAAATAGTTGTGATAGGTTAGATTCAAACCACACATTGTGACAAACATGACATATTGGTTAGACAGTTGGATGTTAGATGTGAGAATTTCCGGGTGTACTTCGTAAAGCAAGAGGTGTTTAACTTACTCCCCTTACACTAGTAACTCGGAAACAGCGTTCCCCCACTACCTCTACTCAAGGAGCTGCACGAGACTGTGTAAGTTAGTATATGAACAGCTGTAAGTAGTGTTTTATTAAGCATAGATATAAAAGTCAGTACTTTTATAAATATAGAGAGGGTAACTCTCCGCGAGGGGAAAGTCACTATGGAGCTTACGAGTTTTCAGTTCGACACCCTTGTTTTAATGGGTCATTTACTACCATTTAACTTTTTATTAATAATATTGTTATAAAATTTACTGCAATAATTGCGTAATATTATAAACTAAACTTTTATTTTTTTTTTTAAAGTTACACTGATTCAATGATAGGTGACAACACAAGCAAAGTATAACCTTGCTGCGTACTCGTAGCGGAAATGAAGTATACAGCTAATTCAATTTCTACTAACAAGCCTAAGATCTTGTATTATCGGTATCATCGAGCGCGACACCGAAATGGTACGGGGGTCTTAAAAACCCCCGGGGTCCTGAACAAAAATTCTCATAGCATGCAACGTCTTTATTTATCTTAAATCTGTGGTCTATCCTTATATTTCGTCTGTGGTGACACTAATAATTCGAGTAATATAAAACACAATGATGATCTATTACTGCATGTTATCCGTGGTTAAACTGAAAACAAATCCTACATTCACTGTATAATAAACGGAGTTATAATCGGAGTATGATTTTGAAATATTTTTAATCTTTACATTATAGGTTCTTTGGTAAGAGTGTATACAATGAAATTTGAACAGTATGAATAGTTATTTCATTATATATCAACAAAATAGATTTCTAATTTTAGATCTTATAGAAAATCAATCTTAATAAGTAATTTGACGTTTCGTTATAGTTTCGTAAGATTTTTTAAATATTTACTTTTTAGTACAATTAACGTTATATATCATTATAAGGGTATGATATATCGATGACAAGTAGCTTAAAATTATTTCCTTCATATCTAATTTATTCTGCTATTTTGGTTTTGTATAACCAAGAATTTTAATTTTTGCAGGGATTTATCAATATGGCAAGCACTTCTTCAGAACAAAGTAATATTGCACAAAAAACATGGGAAATGTCAAATAATGTAGAGACAATCAGCACTGTTGATGAGATTTATAGATACGACCGTAAAGAACAACAGGACATATTAGCTGCAAAGCCATGGGAAAAAGAGTATATATTTTCTTTTCATTCATATATTAATATTAAAATAATATTATATGTTTAATATAATATAATCAATATAATATATATATATATATATTGAAAATATTTTTATCAATTTTATAGCCCCCACTTTTTTAAAGACATAAAAATCTCTGCGTTGGCATTGTTAAAAATGGTTATGCATGCTCGCTCTGGTGGAACTTTAGAAGTAATGGGTCTCCTTCTTGGAAAAGTAGCTGCAAATACAATGATTGTTATGGATTCTTTTGCATTGCCAGTGGAAGGAACAGAAACAAGAGTGAATGCTCAAGCACAAGCTTATGAATATATGTCAGCATATGTAGAAGCAGCTAAACAGGTATTTTTTTTTATGTTTGAGAAATATATTTGAATATACAAAGCATAAATCATTAATCACATAATTTTTCACATAGAATTTTTACTGTTACATTCTACAGTTTATATTATTAAGTTAATCTAAAATCTAATGAAATTAATATTGTATTGTTTCAAGGTTGGAAGACAAGAAAATGCAATTGGATGGTATCATAGTCACCCTGGGTATGGCTGTTGGTTATCAGGTATTGATGTGTCTACCCAAATGCTTAATCAAAACTTCCAAGAACCTTTTGTTGCTATTGTTATTGATCCTGTGAGAACAATATCCGCTGGGAAAGTTTGTTTAGGTGCATTCAGAACTTATCCAAAGGTAATATATGTTAGACTTAAATTTATTGAAGATATAGAAAATATATTGTATAAAACAGTATGTTATATAAAAGTAGAAAATGTAACAAATTGTCTGATTTTTTATAGGGATATAAACCAGCAAATGAAGAACCATCAGAATATCAAACAATTCCATTGAACAAAATTGAAGATTTTGGTGTTCACTGCAAACAATATTATTCATTAGAAGTATCGTACTTCAAATCATCATTAGATAGGCGTTTATTAGACTCTTTGTGGAATAAATATTGGGTGAACACATTAAGTTCTTCTAGCCTTTTAACAAATGCAGATTACACGACAGGACAAATATTTGACTTATCAGACAAATTAGAACAATCTGAAGCAGCACTTGGAAGAGGATTTATTTTAGGTGGTACGGATCCGCATGATCGATGTTCAGTAGAGAAACTAATTAAAGCAACAAGAGACAGTTGTAAAACTACAATTGAAATTATTCATGGTTTAATGGCACAAATAATTAAAGACAGATTATTTAATCAGGTTGGTTGTAATAATGCTATTGAAATTCAACAGCAACAGCAGTAAATGTTATAGATAAAGTATAACTATTATAAGAAGATTATAATAATGTTCGTAATATGTAATTAATGTATGGAAAATTTGTAATAACAACAAAATACATACAAAATGTCTGCATTTATATTTCTCTTTTATTATACGCATTATGTTTTTCATAATAATATACAGTTTAATAAAAACTATCTCATACTGATAACAAAAAAGAAATAATAATAATAATAATAATATTCTAAAAGTTTAATGGAATAAAAATACATTTTATTTTCACACCTTGATTCTAGAAAGTATATATACAGTATCTGTATCATTATTCGATATCTTCACAGTTGATAAATAAATATATATGTATATATATTATATAATAAATTATATGTATATATAATACACACACATATATATTTATAAAACTAATATAATATTGAGAACAAGTAGGCAGAGTACACCCCACTGAAGGGCTGACACTGTGTCACAGACTTAGGACAAGGCCACTCAGAAACGCACCCACCTGTTCTAGAATTATGTATACACTTTTGCATTCATAGCGCACAACATATAAGGGACGGAGCTAAAATGCATACAATTAGACTGATAATATACTTACTGGTATGTTATGATATTTATGATCTTAAGAAAAATTCAAAAAGTGAAACATAGTGAAACACAATTTGTGTTTAAATTTTTTTTACGTTGTTAGATCTAATAATACTTAAAAGACTATCTGTTCATGTAATATTATATTAAAGTAAATTAAATACAATTAAGTACAAATGTGTACCGTAACTTCATTTACATAAAATCTTGAAAAAGAATACCTGCAAGATCACTATTGCTACATTTTACGCATTCCACTTTTATCTTGCATATCTTCACATGACATAGATGCAGAATATTCGTCAAGTTCTTGCTTCTCAAAAAAGTGAAATGACGTGTATAAAAAAATATGAGCTTTTTCAAAAGGAGTTCAACTCACTCATACAAGTTTCAAGTTCATTAAACTGTAGGAGAAGAAATCGTGAGTTGCGTTGAACTCAATTTTACATTATACATATTTTAAGAAGTTCTATAATAAAAAGGAATGTAAAAATACTTTTCTGTATCATAATTTTTATTTAAACTTTTATTTCACGAAAAAATTTTATGAGTGTTTCTGTTTAAAATTATATGTTACTTAAGAACAATAAGAAATTTTTCATCAATAATCTTAAAAATAGCATTTTAAACCAAATGTTATTTGTTATAATTTAGAAATAATATTAATAATATATTGTAGTATAAAATTTATGTTTAAATAAGTTTATGTATTTTCAGAAGTAATAATTCTTGAGTTTATTTTAAAAATTGTATTGATAAACATATGATATATTTTTGAAGCAATATTTTCCCAATATATATATTAATATTAATGAGAATTTAAGTTTTCTTACGAAAAAGAACATTTTGTTTAACACAATTTCATGTAATTTAATCAACGAATCTGCCTGTAAAAAATTATATGACAATCAGCCCTCCAATGGCATCATATACTCCGAATACATTAAAAACTGTATAAACATCACACATAACAGACGTAAATATGGGGTGTAGCAAACGTACACACTACATATGTACTTGCATTCATGTGTCTCTCCCTCCTAAAAAAATTTATCTGTGTGAAAGAAGCAGAAGTTTTTCTATTAATAATTAAAATGTCAATTACATCATAAACACATATAGTAAAGAATCCCATTTTACAACTCTTTATAATAAGAATTTAATCACTCCTATGTTACTGCAATTATTTATGTATTTACAAGGCATTCGCGTTCATTTATTACTTACAAATATAGGTAGAAAAGATCAATTATTACAGCAAAATTTGAGTGCTTGTTGATAATTGGGCAGCAACATTTTTACGAATAAACAACTTCCACCATCATTTTTTGAGTGATTTTACTATATTTTGTTGTGTATCTGTCTTGCATTCAGTTTGTTAAAGAACTGTTGCATGTACAAAATTATAAGCTAAATCAGAAGCTGTAAGATTATAAATTCAACAGATCAAATAACAATGTTGCATGTAATATTTTGTTCTATCTTTCTATATTCGATTAGAGAAAATATTTACACGTCTCTCATACATGCAGCATAGTACAGAGAAATTTTACATTCCTTTCTGTGATTTGAAATTTAATCATCACCATTCCTTCAATAAATTTACTACTTCTGAAAGACTTCAAAATGAATATCATACCATCTGCCCAATAAACGTTATATAAATTAATTACAAATGTATTTATATAATAAACAATGTAAATAACCAATTTATCAACATGTTCTTTTCATATTTTAAACATATGGAAAACAATTTCATATTGTGCAATTTTTTTTAAATTCGAAAAATATTTCGTTGTTTTATATAAAGCATACAATAAAAATACTAAAATACTCTTCCCATTGAAACGTATTTACAAAAATTGCATATACGAGATATGATGAAAAGTATACATTTTCTGCAAATTTAAAATATGGTCTGTGAGAGCAGATGAAACAATTTTTATGTACGATATAAAATTAAGATTCATTATAACTTTGTATGCTATTAGAATCGTACCATGTATGATCCATTATTGATTTTATTAATCAGACATTTCTTTCGTCAGACATGTCCTCTTATCAATATGTTTCTTTTTACCCAATGGAGAAATGAAATTGAGTTCAGTCTATTTCAGACTCAGTTACTTATTTAGACAGGCATATGTACAATTGTTTTCCTTGATATATGTTGTCACTGTGATGCCAATGGAGGAAAATTATTTACTTCTGTTTGTTCCAAGACTGGTCCTGATGATCCAGTATACGAGATACGTAATCTCATTCTTAGAGGTACCTGAATGCAACAAAAGTATACATAAATAATGATTAAGTAATAGTTTTTTCTTTTATATTTATCATTTAAACATGATATATTATTATCAAAACTTACTTTGTTGATATTCGTAACTTTCAAGACTTGTGTTACTTGCCCTGATGGAGGAATGACTGTGCTCGATGGAGACAACATTTGTAGTTGGAATGTCTGAAAATAAAAATAATTAATTACATTGTTTCTTAAGAAATATAAATGTTTAAGTACCTATCTTACCTTAGGAACTGCTGCTTGAAACAGAAAATCAGTTAGCATAACATTTCCAGAATTCTGTGCTGACATGTTTATAATTAATAAATCAGCAATATCTGGAGGTCTTTCTAATCTGAAAGTTATTTTAAGTCCTGATTTATCCAATACAACCATAGTGGGCGTATCTAAAATTTTCAAATAAAATATAGATTAAATCCTAATATTCTAAATGAAAATTATACAGTAAAGTATTATATATTAGAGTATACAAACCGTTTTGGGTTGATGATGAATTAAGTAAACCATCCACTAAAAAGTTGTTCGTGTTTGTAGGACTAAATACTTGCGTTGGCGTTTGGGCCTGTGGCAGTATAGATGTAGATGTAGATGTAGGCGCACTTAAATCCAAACTACCAAGTAAATCCAAAAGATCATTATTGTTTACTACAGAAGTTGTATTGACAGGTGGATTTTTATTTGACACTGTAGATGTCACTCCTATGTCAGTAGTTCCAAGCAAATCTAAAAGTGCACTCTATAAAATGTAAAAAGAGTTTTAAAATTTAATAATATTAGCAATAACGATAAGAAATTTATGCTAGTAATTTTCTCACGTTTTGCTTTTTATATTAATTAAAAATCTGTTAGCACCTATATCTATATCTAATAAACTATTATATTTCATTTGTTTTCCTAAATATTTGCTGTAGACTCACTGAATCAGATGGTGGTGTACTTGTTTCCAAGACTGTTGATTTTTCCTCTTCCGGTTCTGGTTCACCATTTACCATACCAATAATGCCATTAGCTTGTGGTCTTGCCGTTTCCATCGGAGGCATTCTTTCAAGTAACGCAGGTCGTAAATGATCATATTTTCTGAACAATTGTGAGAATTCAATGCCCCGTTGTTGCAATTCGATATGTAAATTGCTTCCAAAAGTATCGATTATTTGACGAATTTTTCTATAATATAGAAGAATTATTATTTTATATCAATTTAAACGTAAGAAATATAATAAAATAAGTCATCATTATACTTCCAAATAATGCTTACTCGTTTCCCTTTTGAAATCGTGTACTAAGTTTCGTCAGAGACAATAATGTATATTGTTTTGTAACAACTGTATTTTGTGGATTCCATAATAACCTTTGGTAGACATCGATAACTTCGTCTTCTGTTAACTAATAATGACATAAACTTACGGATTAAGTATTCAATTACTGTTAATTCATTACTGATTAATTTAAAATGTTTTAATTCAAAAGAGATTGGTATAAAATATGAAAGAAAATAAAACTAAAATAAAAAGAATGCGAAAGAAATTGTATACATCCAACATACATTGACTGGAGTATCTGCATCTTCCGATGGTGGCCCATATAATAATAAATCACCATATTCACCAATGCACCACGTTGCTACTTGAGCCAAAGGTTGTTTATCGGATGTATCTTTTTCTAATGCTTTCCATAATGCACTGACAGCATAACTTTGTTGCGACTGAGTTTCCGAAATTAATTGAATAGTACATGCTACTACATCATCTCTGACATAATTACCAGCCTGAGAAATAATAATAGTTAAACAAAAATGCTATGGACATAGATACAAAGAAAAAAGGAAAAATATAAAGTAAATGACATACAGCAACAAGAACTTTAAATAAGGTTTCAAGGTGCCAACGCTTATTCGGCGCGAATCTCTCGGCAGACATTACTATATTACTACTGCATTGTGCTTTAAATTCTGGATCAGCACGTTCCAAGAATAGCAACAATTCCTTCATCATATTTCTAATGTTGTTAGAATTCACGAGTGCAAAACTGAGCTCCATTGCTCGTCTTCTAATTGATACATCTGGATCTTTCAAACACTCCTAAAGAATATATATAAAATGTAATATTATGTTTTAAGTGTTTATGTATTGCAAAATATATTAATGATGTGAAAATATTACCAAAATTGTTGAACGATGTCTTTGGACTGCACTTGTGTCTACATAAACTGTTTTTAATAATGTATTCAAAGCAACGTATCGAATATTCTTATCATTATTTAATAAAAATCGGCCCAATATATTCACCGCCAACACTCTAAGTCCGCTCTCTGATTTTATGTCCATAATAGATAATACAGTTTCATACAATATCGTATTACCAACATTTTTACTAGTTTCCGTATTTGTTGCGACTTGTGCAAGTATATCATTCATTGCTTCTGATGCATCAATATCATTGCGTCCCAAAATTCGTAAAAGGCGTAATATTTTTACTTGTAGGAAAGGATCAGATACACCTGACACATCATGCTCTGGTGAATATCCAGCTAAGATCAAATTCTTCAAAATTCTTACAAGATTTGGCACAATCTGCAAAATAATTTTATTTAAAATTAATAACATTTATTGATTGTATTAATTCACACAAAAAAAGTTAAATGGAAAAATCTGAAAATATATATAAAAGAACAGTTTAACATAGTGACATTGCATATTCACTGTATCAATAAAATATCTTTCAATTTATGAAAAAGCAATGTTTAATACTAAACGCTGAAGATAAAAGGAAATACAATTCTGTTTTTAAGAGAAAAGTGTAAGCTGATAACCAAAAAAAAAGCCTAATTTAGTAGCATTGCTTTGTTTATTAAAAAAAAACTACATCAATAGAAATCTCTAATAGAATTTACTAGAAAATAAATTTTCAAAAATTATATTTTATAAAGATAAAC